AAACTACACTAATATACTATACACTACACTATTATACACTACTATAAACTACACTAATATACTATACAAGACAATACTATACAGTACAGACTACACTATACGCTACACTATACACTACACTATTATACACTACTATAAACTACACTAATATACTATACAAGACACTACTATACACTACAGACTACAATATACACTACACTATACACTACACTATACACTACAGACTACACTACAGACTACACTATACACTACACTACTATACACTACAGACTACACTATACACGACACTATACACTACACTATACGCTACAGACTACACTATACGCTACACTATACACTACACTATTATACACTACTATAAACTACACTAATATACTATACAAGACACTACTATACACTACAGACTACAATATACACTACACTATACACTACACTATACACTACAGACTACACTATGCGCTACACTATACACTACACTACTATACACTACAGACTACACTATACACGACACTATACACCACACTATACACTACAGACTACACTATACACGACACTATACACTACCCTACTATACACTACAGACTACACTATACACTACACTATACACTACACTACTATACACTACAGACTACACTATACACTACACTACTATACACTACAGACTACACTATACACGACACTATACACCACACTATACACTACAGACTACACTATACACGACACTATACACCACACTATACACTACAGACTACACTATACGCTACACTATACACTACACTATACACTACAGACTACACTATACACGACACTGTTAGAGCCTCACGTCGGTTCTGTGCTGTCGCCCCTCGGTGTGGAGCTCTCTATCCCTTTGCGCATCCGCAACATCAAATGCACTCTGACTACTTTCAAGAAACATCTAAAGGCCTCCTCCATCTGTGTCTGACTCAGGGCTTTCGAGCAGCCCTGAGCTTGGCCGAGTTGTTGACGTGTCTGCTAAATGTGGCGCGCTATGAATGTCATCATCATTATTCTTCTTTTTGTCCCCGTGATGTCCCGTTTTTTTGTCGTCGTTGTTGTTGTTGTGCCTCGGGGGTTGGCAACCCTAGTCGTGTCCGATACTGCCACCCTCCCACCCCCACTGGTGAAGTATGGTCAAACGTGCCCTCGTGGCTGACGCGGTGCGAGGGAGGCCCTCCTGCGGCGGTGATGCAGCGACAAAAGGCTCGGCTTTTTTTATTTTTATTTCCACGAATCTGAATTCATGCAGCCGTTTTCACTCCTCGGTGCTACGGCAATGTTGTTTTTGTACGCATGTTGGTTGTCTTAAGTGAATACCACTTCGCGCGGCGGTGTTCGCACTGCTGCTGAAACTGACGCCTTGATTACTTTTGCGGTCTTGTCATTTGCTAACAAGCGCGCTGGCCTTATTCCTAAAAACAACAAAAACTCGGGCGTGTTTAACGTGAGCTGTCTAATGTGCATGGCAATGGCACGTTTTTCACATTTAGGGCCGCGCTTCTTCCGTCGCTGCCGCGAAGGGGTGACTGTGACCCAGCAGTGGCAGAACATTCATCCTGTTACTCACGGTTACTCAGACAAAGAAAATGAGAGGAGTAGAAGGATGGTGGTGATGGAGGGAACACGGCAAGGCGCTGGTGGGACCCATGATTCATATCTAAGGGACCCTTTTTGTCAAGATCAAAATGATTGGGGGAAAACAATGAGAATACGCGTTGGCCTTCCTGGCAATAAAACGGCTGTTAAGATGTTCAAACGCCTAATAGACACTCGTTGCATGATCCAACCGAGCGTCCAACATCAAATTATCGTCGAAACGGAAGGCACCTCAGTTCAGAACCAAAATATTTATACTGGGGGAGGAATCCGATGAGCTTTAAAGCTCTTTTTCACAGATGTCCATGCGGGGCACGGGCTAAGAACGTTACAACAACGCACAGTATAAAAACACGATTAGGAGCGCAAAGTACAAGAAAGGTAAATAAATGACCCAAACGCACACAAATTAAACTGAACCAGTCCCATCCCACTCTGTGGATCCCTGAAGTCACGAAAACTTCAAATCGAGATTCAGCCCGCATCCTACCAGGCAAAGCCTGCTGCGGTGTGAACTTATTTTTTCAGAAGCGACCTGGCTATCACAAATGATAGCCCAACGAAGTGGCCCATCATGAAAGAAGCAGCGACGGGGCAGCGAGAAGTGGACAGGCCACGGCACGTAGATTTCGGTGAAGGAAACGGCCATGCCCCCAACGGCCCCAAAAAGTTCAAGAAACCGGACGAATATATTCAATTTCATCCGCACCTTGTTTTGCTGCGCATAAAAAAAAGAGTGACTTTCTGGGATGAATCCAGATAATAGGGTCCGTCCCGAGGACTCCCCTTCCCCCTTCCGCCCGTTCCACAGCAGTCGGATGAGATACGTTTTAACCGAAACCTGATCGGCGCTGTACCCTCCTCCCAAGCTCGTATGGAGCATGTATCACCGAGCCTCGAATGGCCGCGCTTCCACGTTTTGATGTCCGAGTGCTCAGCGGGCCGAGACCCGAGTCGGTTGAGACTCATCCGGAACACGGTTGGGCGCGGATGGTGGGCAGAGGGGAGCGCACGTAAGCGCTGTGGTGATTTTACACGGGGGGCACAACAGAGGGCAACAGCGGAGGGCACAACGGAGGCCACAACAATGGGCTACCTTTCTAGGGGACACTCGCGCGCGTTAAGATCCCCCCCCCCTACCGCTTATCGGCTTTGCTGAGACCACAGTGAAGTCTGAGAACACCGGTCCCGTTGGTTCAATTCCAAGGCTATTGCGGATTACATGTGTCATTTACAAGAAAACCAAGATCAACGTTGCTCCGTGCGAGCAGGACGCTACCTGCCTTGGATGCTTTATGTCACGCAAAGACAATGACGAAAGATGCCCCTCCCAGCCCGCCTGTAGACTTTAACAGGCAGTTGGGGTAAGCGCTGTTCGCGAGTGCCACCTTTCATGGAGACCCTCGAGCCTTTGTCTCGCCACTGGCGATGTTTACACACGAGGCGCCAGGCACAGGACTCGCTTGAGGCAGTGTCGACCTCGAGGGCAGAAGCCCAGAACCGGGGTTCAGACACTCAACGCCGTTATTGGTCATGAGCGGCAAATCGAATGCGGGTCGCCGGGTTCGGAGTGCCACGCGCTCACCGCTCCACTACCGCTGCCCGTAATTCCCCACGTACAACAGACAAAGATTCCCCCGTGTAGCCTTGAACAGGCTGTCGAGTCAAGTGCTGTTTGCGAGCACCAATCAAGGCCGACACGGCGCACTAGGGGGGTGGTTGGCCAGCACCACGTCTGGCCGCCTTTGTCTCCCCAGTGTCGATGTTTTACACACTGCACCAGGTACTCATTTGAGGCTGAGTCGACCTAGGGGAGGCCCAAGATCGGTTCAAATAAACGTCGTCACTGGTGTTGGCCGTGAGCGGGAATTGAACTCGGGTCTCCGGGTTCGTAGGCGCGGCACGCTAACCGCGACACGACCACTGCCCTACCGCTGCCCATAACTTCTCACAACAACAACCGCCATTCGCCACTCAGTGGCGTCACCACGGCGCCTGTGCCAGGCTACGTGCACGTTAAGGCCACGTGAAGTGTCCCCGCCCGCTGGCAAGGAGGCCACGGGACGGAACCAGCAGGTGCCATGGGTTGGCTGACTGAGGTGGCTGGCCGATGCACCACCTGTGCCCCCCTACTGTGCCAATTCACACATACACACACATACACACACATACACACGTGTGCAAGTGAAGCCCCTAACGAGCTAAAACCTTGCTGACGTGATTGCGGCTTACAGGGAGTGAGGGCTAGCTCCTGTGAAAACTGATTACTTTTATATTCCTATCGCTTTGCCCATCATCATAAATCATAATCATCATTACCAATCATCGTGATCATTATCATCACCTAACAGAGCTTAGATTGCCCGCACGGTACTCTGGATGCCCGTGTAATGTTAAGGAATGGATCCCCTTTCCTGCTCCAGATCATTCCAACGTCATCAAACATCATCATTGTCTTTGAGTTGTGCGCCTTTTGGCGTCATCTGGTCGAACACCGTATGAGACTAGGCTCTAAGGATAGCTGTCTCTGGTGTGGACTAATCAATTTCAAGGACAATGCATACATTATCAGAGTGTGCATACATTATCAGTGTGTTTTTTGTTTGCATTCTGACTGCAGGTATTGTGATTAATGTAAACATGATTCCTTGTAAAAAAGGTTTCAGTTTTGTTGCCAGAAAAAAAGGGGAAAAAACCTATTATTATATTTTGGTACTAGCAAAGGAGGCCTCATGATCATCATCGTCATCAAGCCTCGGAGCAAATCATCCCGAGTACGTCTGATCACGTTGGTCCTCAGAAGCTCAGCAGATAACATCCTGGCTTGGTACGTGCAGCGGTAGATGTCCTGGGAACACCGGTTGTTTTAGTCGCGGGCTGACAAGTGACCAGAAGATGGCAAGCGCAGCAAATGGGTTGAATTTTCGTCTGTTCGGAAACCCACTCCCCCTTGTTGTGCGTGATTGGTTTTTCTCCAGGTACGCTGGTGTGCTCCCACGTGAAACCTAACACGCATTCGTGGCATTACCCAAACATCCCAATGGGCTGTTTGCAAATATACAAACTGCACTTAGCTATCTGTCGCCCTTTGTACTAACATTTGAATATTTCCAGATACAAGCGCATGTTCGAGAGCATTGCGTAATCCCATTTTTCTGAACTTGTTTAGTAATATCGCTCTCTCCGATGTGTCTTTCGGGTTCGTGCCGCGCATCGTTCTGCACACGATGTTCTGGCTCATTGCTCCGCGAGCTCGGGAGGTTCTTCAGGAACCGCGTTAACTTCTTGACGGCGCGTGGAGCGAAACGTCGGAGACACCGCAAAATCCTTCTCCTCCTCCTCGGCGCGATCGTTCAACGTCCGGCGCTCTGCGTCACTGTGCGCAGGCAAGACGATGTCCCTGGCCACCTACGAGGGGAGCTACAGGACCCACGTTCCTCGATGGGACGGCGGCGGCGGTCGACGAGGAGGCGGCGATGCGGGAGGAGGAGGTCGGAGCGGCGGTGACGGAGATCCCCAGCGGCCGCCGTCGACGGGCGCCCCCCCCGGCCCCACGGCGGGCCACGTCGCGCCCACGCTGACGCCCGTGGCGCAGCGGCCACACGTGGGCAACATGAACACGCACGAGGTGAAGCCGCACGAGGCCAAGCCCCCGCAGCAGCAGCAGCCGCCACACGGCGCGGCGGAAGACGGGGAAGAGGGCCGCGGCTACGGCGAGCTGAACGCCACCTTCCCCACGGTGCGACGTGCGGGCGTCGAGGTGAGCTGGGGGGGGGGGGCGTAGGGCTGGGGGGGGGGCCCTACCCATTTTCTTATTCCTCACTCTCACGCTCTCACGCACGCACACACATGGACACGCTCACGCACAGTGAGCGAACGGCTAAATCGCTCAAGCAACTCCGAATCGCTCGGAGTTGCTCTTCGTCGGTCCATACGGTTTGCACGGTTGGCTACGTACGGTGTGAAAGAAGTTCAACATATATGCATACAAGTGTAAGCCGTGCTACGGGTGACGGTGTTTTAGTTTTAAGGGCACCGCCGTGGCGACATGTTAACTACCTTGCCTGGTATACAGGAGGTCGTGGATTCAATCCCGACCCTGAAGCCTGGTGCATATTTGGAGTTTGCGTGTCTCTCTCTCCCCCCTTGGTTGCATGGATTTTTCTCCGGCTCCTCCGGTTTGTCTCTCCGCATTGACAATCAGCATCACGCGTTTAGAGCATTTGGCTGCTATAAATTTCCACATGGTGATGACAAGCCACTTCGTTGAGCTTTCATTTGTGATAGCCAGGTCACTTCTGAAAGATAACTATATGTAGCTCAGTGACCATTTCCTGGTAAAATAAAAAAAATTGTTTAAATAATGGTAGTTTTACGGAGTGTAGTCTATTGCGAGATGCAAATTGCATCGCTCATGATCTCCGAAGAACCACAACGAGCTGGAAGGCAGCATCAGCCAGGCAGCGAGCCACCACTACCAACAATTTCCCAAGCCCTGCAGTCATCTATGTGGTGAAGATGTTTTCAGCCAATTATTGAGTGTTTATATATACTCAGCACCATGCATAAAACATGTGTTGTAGAGTGCTGCGGGTGCATTCTGGGTAATTTTGTCACCGGATTGAACATTTTGGGTTGTCATTGATCCCAGAGTCACCATGAAATATCAAAATAAAAGTATATTTTTTTAAGGATCTTGACGACAGCATAGCAATACTTGTGTAGTTATTGCCAATCCTGGGGTCATGGGGTGGTGGTTATTGCTCAAAAAACTGGTGAACTGATCGCTGCGGGACCAGCAAAGAGATGTCAATCGATTGATCGATTGATTGAGCTGCGGCACGCTTTTCCACAGCTCATCGGCTCCCTGATGGCTCATCAACCACCTCCAGCTGTCGGGAATGTGAGCTCTGATATATACCGGTGGGGTTTTTCCGGTTAGACTTCACAGGCCAAGGTCAAGAGGTCGACCGCGGCCACTGCAGATGATGACCACCGATGCCTTGTCGTCACTTCCTACGTTCCGCTAAATTCCCCCGAGGCGTGAAGAATTGCACGTCAGTTTGCCGTGTGTAGTATGTGGCAAATTGTTGAGTGGCTCGATTTACAGGCGTATCCGCGTGCGGCGATTATCATCCCGTGCCGCTTTACCACGTGTAACGCGCGATAAATTGGCAAGCGACGTACAGCAGAACCCCTCTTAACGACGGTAATTGGTTCCATGAAACCTGTTGTTAAGTGATTTGGTCGTTAAGCGAGTATAGCAAATACACGTTAAAGGCTTAATTCGTTCAGATAGCATCAAAAGTTACACTTTTTCACCCAAAAAACGTACTTTATAATATTAAAACAATGCATATTAATACATAACGGCACTAACGCCATTATAAAACACATACTATTAAAAGAAACATGGTTAATCAATGCATTAATTAATATTATGATACAAGTGTAGTGGGTTCTACGGAGGCACACACTTGAACTTGGAGGAAACATTTATTACAGGACCCCAACAGGGTAACTACAGAAACGTACATTGGTTTACTAGACCACAACGGGGTAACTACATAACCGAGTCAGCTAACACACTGCCTAACCCACTATGCCGACCGTAAAGACCAAAGATCGAAGAGACGTAGCACCGACGGATTCCATTTCAGCAGACAGCCGCAATTGCTCTGGGGACTTCCCTTTTATGCTCCCGAGCGTGGCCTCGCTCCGCCTTCGGCCACGCCCCTTCTGGATCTTACCAGAAGGTTCTTGACCGAGCATCATGTGTCCCTCAAGCCACCCTTTGGGCCCCCTCGCTACCCTGTCCCGTTCACGTGCCCTCTCGGGTTCACCAAGACTGTCACGTCCCTACTTGCCCTCTCTCTGACCGTCACCAGAATCATGCCCCCTAGGCCCCGCATCCATGCCATACCTACTCTGGTGCCAGAGAGATTCTGAAGACGCACAGTTCCACTCTTGTGACAGCTGGCACTAAATGCCCTAGTGACTCCATTTACATCACAACACCTGCAATAGCCAGTCGTTAACTGGAGAATGATCAGTAAGCGGACACATTGGGATCTATGGAGGCCTGTCGTTAAGCGATTAGTTGTTAACAGGGGTAGCCGTTGAGAGGGGTTCTACTAGACACTACTATACACTACACTATACACTACACTACTATACACTACACACAACACTACTATATACACTACACTACTATACACTACACTACTATACACTACACTACTATACACTACATTATACAGTACTATACAATACACTTCTATACTCTTTGGTTCTATTCGGTAAAGTCACGTAGGTAAATAATAAAACAACAATAATCACGACGTTTCGGCCACAACACAAGCGGCCTTCATCAGGTGAAGGGACGAGCCTGTCTGGAGGACAGCGCTGGAGTGGAAGAAGCCACGCTTAGATCACGACATTTAAGCTGTGTGAGATTATACACTACAATACACTACAATACACTACACATTGGGCTCCGTGGAGGCCCATCGTGAAGCAATGCGTCGTTTATAGTCGTGGCCTTTAAGAGGAATTCTACTACAGTTCGATGACTTTAGGGAAGTTCGGTTTCGCTATGTCCCAAGCGATTTTCAGACTTTAAGAGGGCAGAGTTTGCAATGCTCACACTTGGCACATCCCATAGACCCTCCTCGTGCGCTCACGCACGTGTGCACACCAGGCCCATCCCCGGTGTTTACCACAAGTCTGTTCACGTTTATAAATGTTTAAGTTGCCTCCCCGCCACCATAAGCAAATGCAACAACAACAATGATGATTTATAATGAAGCTTATTCAGTTGGATTGCGTAAATGTAAATGTGTCGTTAAACCCGCCACCAAACCCGACACAGCCAATCAGGTAAGGTGTGTCACGTGAACAAATCGTGCCAATTAGTTACTGCTTCAGCACTGACCGGTTGTGTGTTGGACAGCAAACCCACAACATTTAGAATATGAGAACCCTGACATTGCATTGGTGACTGTGACCAGCCTCCCGGTTGTTAATCACCAGCGGAACTTTACCATGAATAATATTGGTCACGAAAGCATATGTGTTAATGAATAATAATACAGAGGAGAGAGACAGCTAGTCAGAGGTGTAAGCAGTTGTCTTGACGCAACTCCAAAACACACGCAGTACCGGCACTTTCCAGGACTCTTCCTAATTACTACGCCGCGATGTTTTCCGCAGAGGGCGGTTGGGCAGTGACCAAAGGGATGGCCACCGGGCGGAAAAGGTTTTATTTCCATCCCTGGGTGTAAGCGAAAAGTCCTCGCGGTTGGACTCGAACAGAGGGAGGCGCGGTCTCGACAACGTGGATGGCGAGAGGAGCGGATTTCCAGACAGTTGGGGACGGGGAGGTGTAGACTGCAGCAGAGAAGGAGCGACCTTCCATCGAACGGAGGTCGACTCTTGGCTTGGACCGTAGACCTTGGTCTGCTATGGCGGAAAACACGTGAACTGGAGTCGAGCGAACTTATAGCAGATGCCGTTGGCTCTGTACAGGGTATGCGCACGCTGTTTCTTGCGTTATAATTGGAGCTGGCACAATCAGTCAATTAAGTTAATTAATTGGCATTTATAAAACGGCTAATTTATTGACATTACATTACTCGTGTGCCTTTAAAATGTCAGCTGCCCGGACATCCTGCCTTCGAAGGTGGGAAACCCCCTACAAGGGTGACACGGTTGATGATGCCGATGACATAATTGATGATACCGATGACATCACTGATGATGCCGATGACGTCGTTGATGATGTCGCTGACATCGTTGATGATGCCGATTACATCATCAATCCATGCCCATCACCTCCCGTCCAGCGGCATGATTGACGACAGGTGCGAGACTTTTATTTTTTCCCCCCAACAAATATTTTCCAGTCACCTGATTCGTCGAGCAATCGACTCAGTAATCGGCAGCGTAATCGATTACTTCAATAATTGTGAAGCCCAGTTCTAATTGCAATTCAATTGAATGTGCATCTTTTTTATGCCGTGTGTATTCGAGTTGTCCATTGTACACAAAAATATGGCTGTTTAATACTCATAAAGGCAGTTATTTAGACACACAAAAACAAGTCAAATAGAATGACGTTATAAGAATATATAATACATCCTATGGCAATGGCGTTGCCCAGGTTCTGATGAAACTACTGGCGAGCTCTTTAAACACACTTGGCGTTTCTTTCTTTTGTTCTTTGTTAGAACAATGCACTACACCCTACATCCATTTTCACATCATGCCAGTCCTGTGATCTCGTGATTAGGATATCGTACAAATTACACGTCTCAGCATGTCAGGACTCAGATAAGTAAAATGGTCTGAGTCACCACGCGCGATGTGGATTGAATAATTAAGGCTATTTAGGCTTCACCAGGGTAAAAGCTGTAGCGGAGAGGCAGATGGGAGTCTTGGAATGGAGAAGTGAATTGTGTAATTTCACAAGCAAGGGTCTGAAAATACCGCATAAATAAAAAAAAACCTATGACAGCTTATAAACAACGCATGGAGGAAGGTGGTGGCAGGTTAGGTTGGAATTAAGTTTTAACAATATAAATCGAGTCATGTGAATGCTTATAAAATGGCAGTGGGGGGTATTTGCAAAGCTTTAGCTATTTGTGCAAGGAACACAATTGGGCCAGACTCACAAACACTTTTGTGTGTGTGTGTGACATTGAGGGGTCCAGGCCAGCATTTTTTTGAAAACGTCTCAGAGAAATCATTTAGGTGGCACAGGGCTCAAACCAGTGGACCTTGGGATTAAGAGGCAGGCTCTTTGACTCCGACAAGCCTGCCTTCCTTAGACAATAGATTTTCAGGTCTGCTGCCCAGTCATTGTACAATATAAAACTGAAATGCCATACATAATAAACTGTGCCAGTTGCCCAAACAAGGCAGCGGGGCAGGCAAAGGTGGTTTGGGAAAATGGATCCTACTATTCTGATCATTCGAAATAACATTCCATGATTGTTGCTCTTGAAATTTCCAGCATTTCCAACCTTTTTTCCGGATGAAGTCCACTGAGCTACGTAGCTCTTTTTCAGAAGCGACCTGACTATCACAAATGATAGCTCAACGAAGTGGCTTATCACTTGGACATTTATAGCAGCCGAATAATCTAAATGCATGTTTCTAAATGTGGAGGGAAAAACCTGAGGACCTGGAGAAAAATCCACGCGACCACGGGGAGAACACGAGAACATGCAAACAAACTCCAAATATACAGCAGGCGTCAAGGTCAGGATCGAACCAACGACCTCCTGCATACTAGGCGAGGGAGGTAACGTCTCGCCCTAATGCATCTACATAATTTTTATGATGGCCTGGTGGCTCAGCGGGTAGGGTGAAACGGCTCACAATGGAAAGGTTGCGAATTTCAAGTGTTCTTTGAGGGTTCACTCAGCCCATCGTCCCTCAGAGGTCGATAAATAAGAGTTTCACTTTGTGGGGAATGTCAACAATGGTTTTTGCATGGATACGCTTGCCCCTTCCATAGGAATGTAGAATTTCCCCCGCGGGCTTCAGGGCCTAGTAATTTTTCACCCATTACAACGGTGAAGTGACAACTAATGGTGTTGTGTTTTTTTGCTCCTCTGCACTTGTGTTTTTTTCAAGGCGTGCACAACACACGCACTGTGATTGTAAATGCAGCGCAAGGTGACATGTATTTATCCACAATAATGTTTTTTTTAATCCCATCTTCTCTAAAGTGCTTCATTTCACAATAACAGAGAATTCTAAACGCCTATGACCGAAACGCTCTTCGTGTGCCTGACCTCGTGAGATCTTCAAAGCTGAGCGGTGGTGGGCCTGGTTAGTACTTGAACGTGAGTTTTTGTAGTTAATAGTGAGAGTGTTGCAGGCCTAGGCTTGCAATGTGGCCAGGAAATGGTCGTACGGAATTTTCAAATCTATTGGCTCAGAACTTGGCAGTGTTAACATTTTACAAATTGGCTCTTAGTGTATTGATGAGGGGATGATGACAATGATTATGGTGGTGATGGTGGTGGTGATAATATTAATGGGCCCAGTTGGTCTTTGACGAGAATTTGAATTAGCAAACTTACAAATGTGGCAAGGCTCGTTATAATTAAGGGGCCCTAGGAGGTGAAGGTATAGCAAAAATATGTTACAGTAGTGTAGCCAACGTGGAAGAAAACATGAATGAAATTGACATTTCCATTATTATCAAGTAATGTGTAGGATTGATTTAACTATATAACGCGATTTTTGTTCCTGTGTAGTAAGTGGTATTTTCTAATTGCTTATGCCTCAAAAGTATATCAATTAGGAAACAACACTTACTACCCAGGAACAAAAATCATTTGTTACACAGTGTTTTACAACACGAAGAAATGGTGATTTGGCCATTAATTAAAAACAAACGTTACGTATATAGTGCAAGGCAATCATATCGCACAGCAAGAATTAATTATTTGGAATAACCTTGAGTGCACAATTTCAAATAATTGACCCACGTTCAAACTATTTTACTTCTCGATATCAAAATAATCATCGCAACAGCTGCGCTCTGCAATCTAACTAATTATATCTGTTGATATAAAGTTACTATCAAGATTACATGTAGAGCTTCGTGTAATTATTCAACAGACAGGCTTTGAATTAGAAGCTTAAATTCTGTCATTATTTTCTGCCGGGGGACAAAAGTGTCTTTTGCTAACAAGGGAAATTAGTTTAACACGTAGGCTTTTGCGACCAATATCATGCATAATAGAGGGGTTTTTTGGGGTAATTATATAAATGTGTCGTTAAAACCTGCCACCACCCGACACAGCCAACTAGTAAGGGTTGTCACGTAAACAGAACGTGCCAATTCGTCACTAGTAGAGCACACCGATGTGTTGGAGAGCCAAGCCACAGCATTTACAATCTGAGTACGAAGTTTTGCCAGTAATTTCAACTATCTTCATCAGGCGATAGCCAGATTTGTGGAGAAGTCCACCTGTTTCGTTAAGAAAAGTATCCTCCCCATATAATTAAGCCCAGATTGTCAGTTCATTGCCCTCAACTTTACCGGTCACGTGCCACTGTTTCACATCTCCCAGGAAAGTTGTTTTGCTCAAGAAGAAATGTAATTGATTAGAACAGGGTTTCCCCTTTTTTCTGGCAACAAAACAGGTGTTGAGATGTTAAAACACCAAACTGAAACCTTTTACAAGGAATCATGTCTGCATTAACCACGATACTTGTGGTTATAATGCAAACAAAAAACATACTCTGATAATATATGCATTGTCTTTGATACTAATTGGTCCACACCAGAGACAGCTTTCTTTTGAGCCTAGTTGTCTCTGGTGTGGACCAATCAGTTTCAAAGACAATGCATATATTATCAGAGTATGTTTTTTTGTTTGCAGCCTCATCCTCTTTCCTTTAGTCTCGGGCATTTTTGCTCAATCTTAGGAATCCAAATTTAATTGCAGTTTACGTTGAGTTCCTCATAGCAACTCGTGGTTGAAACACATTGATCGGAAATATCCGTTTATGAAGATTAACATTTTAAACATTTAGAAGACAACAGCTGCTGGAGAGAAAACTGACGAGGAAATGTGTTGTTGTCCATGAGTCGTTGGGTCATGGCCCCCGTGCACTACACAATCGTTTGACCAAGTTGAAGTGAAATTCTCCATATATATCCTCATGATCGATGCATTCACGGACCAGCAAAGGCTGGTCCGCACCCGAACGATCTGTTGTGTAAATGTGTTGCCTCACTCACGTGCGGACGTCTCTGCAACTAGTTGCACAACCAGTTGCTTAGAGTGGAGACAGACTCGCTTCTAACCATCAATTTGCTCGGCGATTTGTAGAAATGTGTTCATCACGTGACACATTTGCGAATGGTGATTGGCCATTACAGTCTTCAAAAGGTATTTTAGAGCATTTGGCTGCTATAAATGTCCACATTATGATAAGCACTTCGTTGAGCTATCGTTTGTGGACAGGTTTTTTTCTGAAAAAGAGCTACATAGCTCAGTGGGCCTTACCTAGTAAAATAAATATAGTTTTTTTTATTAGATGGAGCTAACCAGGAATGGGCTGGATCTCTGCTGTTGAGGGCATGGCCAGACACTTTGGGCATGCCCAGACACGTCACTGTTGCACAACTGCTCGCTCAGATGTGGACAAAGCGGTTGGAGGCGGTGATTAACCCTTTCCCGTTCCGATGACGTGCGTGTATGCACGTGTACGTCATCAGTTTTTCTTCCAATTTCGTTTCCGATTACGTATGTGTAATATCATCGGAACGGAATCGACCATGAACGGAATTTAATCGATTCCGAACGGAATTGGAAGCAAACGGCCACGCGGGAGGGCTTGTGGCACGTTTTTGGGGACAGCTATCGTAGCGTTGCTTTCGTGTCGCTACAGTTCTCTGCAGTGAGTAACAGCAACAATGTCTGTTTAAGAACAGCGGCGCTGCACCTCTCCAAATAAACTTAACGCTGAACCCCTTGCGCCTTCCGGTGGTGGACGGGACCCACCGCGATGATTTGGCCGTGCGGCCGATCGCTCGGGTTCGTACGCACGCCTCACGGAAGCGAACACCCCCCCCCACCCCACCCTGCGCCCGTTGCCGCTCACAGGCCGAGGACCCCATGGGAATTCCGGGCGTCGCCGAGGCCGTGCCAGAGTCGGGCAGCACCACGGGGATGGTGGCCGGCATCGTGGCCGCCGCCGCCCTGTGCATCCTCATCTTGCTCTACGCCATGTACAAGTACCAGAGCCGCGACGGCACGCCCGGCGGCACGGCCGGCGGCGGCGGCGGCGGCGGCGGCGGCGGGGGGACTCGCGACGGCGCGGCAACGGCCGCCGGCGGCTCCCCGGCTAAGGGAGACAAGGCGTCGCCCGCAAACACTGGAGCCAGCAGCCCGTGCAGGAAGGACAAGGAGTATTTTGTCTAAAGATGGAAGCCCGCCTTCCCGTCACTCCTCCTCCTACCTTCTTCTTCTCCCTCCTCCACTACCCACCCCCCCCCCACCCCCCCCCACCCTTTCCCACCATCGGCCCGCTGTGGAAATATCCAGGGAATGTTCGGAATAGTGGGAGGGAGGGAGGTGTGCGCACAAGCAGGGGGTGCCACGCATCACCGCCCCCGGCCCGCCTCCCCCCTCCCACTCCACCCCCACCGAAACTGTCCGTGGTGCTGGACCTGCTGGACCTGATGTTGGAGGTGGTATGCGGCACGCGAGCGAAGTGGCTGCTGGGTGGCGCGGGACCGGAGATGGGTCAAGAGGTTAAACCAGGCGTGTGAGCGCGACGGGGGGCGGGGGGAAGGAGGGGGCGGGGGGAAGCTGTCGCTCGTCGAGGGATGGTTAAAATTGGACGAAAGCGATGAAGGGGGCGGGAGTGCGATCGATGTTGTCTGAGGGGCAGAGCGGGGGGGGGGGGGGATGATACTAAAGGGGGACGGGATGGGGCATGGACACATGCAGGCGACGTGTGCGGCTTTGTCTGATGGACAGAGTTGACCGTGAACATTTTGAACGACGTCAAACTTTTGGGGCCCGAATTGTGCGACCGCTTGAAGGGCGGGAGGGCACCGGGAAATGCCAAAGCGTCAGGTGTCGCCGCAGACGTCAAAAGCCTGAACCCTCGCTCTCTCATACTTAGCCGCCGGATGAAGAATTAGAGGCTGGCTCTTTATCGCCGTCCCTCTTGTTTGCTACTGCTGCTGCTGCTGTTGTTGTTATACACCGCCACTAATAATATGCGCTGCAAGCACCCAATAACTTAAGCCGGGATTTTCTTTCTTTCTCTCTGGGGTGTTGGATGAGTGTCGGCCGGGAGGAATTGGCATTTTTTTTTTATTATTGTTGTTGTTTGTTGTTACTGCGCCTGACGGCACATTCTTAAGAAACACAAAGTGCTGCAATTATTTATTTTCCCACGATCTTTTATCTCGGCGCGCTTCACGACGAAGCTGCCCCTTGAGTGCTTCTGCCCCCGTCTTGCGCAACCACCAGAACGGCGTAGTTCATGCAGGGCAATTCTCTTTTTTTTATTTTGCACGGATGAAATTACTTTCTTCTTGCTCTGCCGTTCTCACCTCCCCAAGCCGAACGCGGTGCATCATTCACGTCGTTCATCGTCCGCCCTATCTCCCCCCACGTCCCCTTCTGTGGCAATGCACTAGCAAGGCCGTAGGTGGCGATATGTTGACTACCTCGCCTGGTATGCAGGAGGCCGTGGGTTCGACTCCGACCCTGCTGTGTTTATTTGGAGTTTGCATGGTCTCTCTCTCTCTCCCAGTGGTTGCGTGGATTTTTCTCCAGGTCCTCCGGTTGTTCCCTCCACATTTGGTATCAACATCATGCGTTTCGAGTGTTTCGCTGTGAGAATTTTCCACGCGATGATGACCAGCCACCTCGTTGAGCTATCACTTTGTGGCCAGGTCGCTTCTCAAAATCAGCTACGTAGCTTAGTGGACCTTACCTGGTAAAATAAAATAAAAATGTTCATAGTTTAGTTTTAAGTGGTAGAGATGCCGTTCCCGCAGGTGTCAAAGACAGATGGCGAGCTCGTGCGCCCCTACCTGAGCAGGTGTGTGCATGATCCGCATACCCGACCGATACGCGGTGTTGCGATTGTTCGCGGGTAAACCACGCGTGCTTTTTGCTCACACGGCTCCGATTAGTACGGTTGGCTACGTACGGCGCGAAAGAAGATCAACATACACACACATACATACGGCTGGTGTGTGTTGCGCGCACACATCCGTGCGTGTAAATGATTGGGGGTGCTAGCCCATTGGGCCCCCCGCCCTTCTCATCAGGAATTTTGTTTTAACCCTCCCCGCTTTCAATTTGTAAACTCCCGAGTGAGGCAGAAGATATGATGTACAGGCAAGGCAGAGATGTAGTGAGATGTGAGAGAGATGTAGGACAAGACAGAGATGTAGTGAGATGCGAGAGAGATGTAAGACAAGACAGAGATGTAGTGAGATGTGAGAGAGATGTAAGACAAGACAGAGATGTAGTGAGATGCGAGAGAGATGTAGGACAAGACAGAGATGTAGTGAGATGTGAGAGAGATGTAGGACAAGACAGAGATGTAGTGAGATGCGAGAGAGATGTAAGACAAGACAGAGATGTAGTGAGATGCGAGAGAGATGTAAGACAAGACAGAGATGTAGTGAGATGTGAGAGAGATGTAGGACAAGACAGAGATGTAGTGAGATGTGAGAGATGTAGACAAGAGAGATGTAGTGAGATGAGATAATGACGCTACAGGCAAGATAGAGATGAGATTGATTCATTCGATTTTATGTTGGTTGGATTTTGTATGCACGTGGATGTGAATTCGGGCCTGATATTTGGCGAATGCCTGGGGGTTTGTTTCGTCTTCTCCCGAATCTGGGGTCCACCCTGAGCCTCTTGGGGGCCCCCACGCTTTTTTGCTTGGGGTTTTTTGTCTCCAGCAATAGCGCCCGCCATCGACTGCAAGGTTTTGCGCGTGTGACCCTTTGACCCCCGTCCTCTGGCAGACTTGAGCTGTCGAGGGGATGCAAACACAAATTGCCACGCGCTTGCCCGTGGGCACTGATTGATTACCTCATCAGACAAGTTCGCATTGCGGCAACAGCACTCCCGCCAATTTAGGCAATCCCACCGAGCCAGTCAAATCGCTCCTGCAAGGCCTCGGCCATAGATCAAAATATATTTTGCAAAAAAAAAAGAAGTAAAATAATAATAACGCGCGCGTGTGTGTGCGCGTGTCTGTGCGCGTGTCTGTGTAGATGGGGAGCGGTAGTGTAGTGGTTAGCACCACGCTGCGCTATACGAACCCGTCAACCCCAGGTTTGATTCCCGCTCACGGCCAACGCCGGTGACGATTATCTGAACCGGTCCTGGGCCTCCCCTTAGGTCGACTCAGCCTCGAATGAGTACCTGGTGCGGCGTGTAAACGTCGCCACTGGGGAGACAAAGGCGGCCGGGCGTGGTGCTGGCCACCCACATCCCCTCGTGTGCCGTGCACGCGCCCTTCGTAGGTGCTGTTCGCTAACAGCACTTGCCCCAACAGTCTCTAAAGGCTTCACGGGGGATCTTTGTGTGTGTGTGACTATTTTCAGCTGTGCGACACAACCCTTGGCAGTTATTCAAAACATTCTGGAGCACACTATTTAGGTCACCTTTTCATTATTTTTGCAACAAAATAAATTTTAAAATCCCCAATTCTACGCAGCAGACTGTGCCCTCCGTCGTCACAAGACAAAGTATTATCGCCTTTGGATATTTAGCGTAGTCACGACCCTTTCTCCGTGTTTGGAGATCAATCCCATGGAAGTGGAAAATTTAAAGGAAAATGTCTTAGATTTGTTTTTGATAGTTTAACACAGGCTTTCGCGACCAATAGCATCCAAAGTATAGGTTTTTTTTTTGGCTTAGGTCGTGTAAATATATCAATGTGTCGTTAAACCCGCCACCACCCGACACTGCCAATTAGTAACGTTGTGTCACGTAAACAGAAAGTGCCATTTCGCTACCAGTACAGCACTGACCGGTGTGTTGGAGAGCAAAGCCACAACATTTACAACCTGAGTACGACGTTTCGCCAGTAATTACAATTAACATCACCAGGCGACAGCCAGATTGTAAATGTTACGGCGTTGCTCTCCAACACTCAACCGGTGCGCTGTCCTAGTAGCGTATTGGCACGTTCTGTTCACGTGACAAACCTGTGTCGGTGCTGGTGGGTTTGACGTCACGTATATTTAAGCGATCTAACAACAACAAAAAAAACCCTGCATTATGGATTCGTTTTGTTGTCAATGTTCTAGAAAGCTTCGCTGAGGCTCGTGGCTCTTTTTTTTTAATCTTTCTTCAGGAGGGTCCTGCCAAGTTTTCAAAGTTGTGGGGCGATGATCGCTTCTTACAGAGTGGCCCAAAAGTCAGAACACGAACGGTTGTTTCATTTATTTTAACACTGGCATTAAAGCATTATTAATTGTTTGTATGTTTTAACACGTAGTAGGCTTTATCATAGAGGTGTTTTAGGTGATATCGCGTAACTATAAATGTGCCGTTAAACCCGCCACTGCTTATCGCTTGCTTAGAGTGTTGCTTACAGCTCATACATTAATAGTGGCGGGTTTGACGGCACATTACATTTGTACGCGATATAGCGCTACAAAAAAAACCTCGACCATGTTCATATTTTAAGTTAATATTGAATCTTTATCATTATTAATATCGCGGGGGTTTTTTCCTTCAATTTTCAGATAACATTTTTAAGTGGAAAGAAAATTGACCAAAGACGAACGAGTTCAATTAGTTTCTACGTGCGCTAAAGAAGGAAGCTGTAATATATATGTTTTTGTAAAGTGTTAAATTAATCTCAAAAGAGAACTCATGCGTGCATTCGTGTTAATGGAAGCCAGTTTTGAACAGTTGTTAAATTAAATGAAATAACCCTATTTGATTTGTTAAAATAAATATAACCGTGTGTGTCCTGACTCTCTGGGTCACCCTGCATATTGCAATTCCTTCCAAGTGACCTCTGTGGCACACAACACTCAGAAGTGGGCATCACTTTCCCACTCGCTCTGCACGTGACAGTGAGATTTGTCGCGTGACGGCCAAACCGATCATTTCATTCGCAGAGCTGAAATTTTGCCAAAATTAAGTGCAGAACCAATTCTAACGCCATTGCTGTTTTTTTTTTTAATTCGCTGTGCAGTCATTGTTGTACCAATAGCCCCAAGCAAGGAAAACACATGTCATTATATATATTGCCTATATATATTCAGATGTGACACATCCGTGAGAGTTTTTTCCTGACAATAGAGGACGGTATTTGGGTCATCTTTACCCAAGGAAAGCTCGGTGCATTAGGGGATGGCTCAAGGTAGCCAGCCGTGTACCTCCGATTAGCACGGTTGGCTACGTACGGTGCGAAAGAAGTTAAATGGACACACGTACAACTTTCACCAGCTGCTACCCCCCAACCAGAAGGATGATCGTGAAGACCA